AAGTCTTGCTGTGCATCTGTGGGTGTGTCCTGCACATGTGGAACTTGGGTATGTGCCCAGTATCGATCCCAGTCTCTCCTCTTCAGGATTTCCTTACACCCTCTGACTCCCAGAGGCCCTTTTCTCTGTTCTTCTGGACTGAAAGATGGGGAGCTCCCAGAATATTTTCCCTCTATACTTACTGTGCTGGTCTGAGTGACTGAGCCTGTCCTTTAGGTGAAGTAACAAGAGAAAAGGGAGGAAAAAATAATTGGAAAGGACTTACCTGGTGGCCCAGTGGTGGAGAATCTGCTTTCCCATGCAGGGGACTGGGGTTCGATCCCTGGTCTGGGAACTACAATTCCACACGTTGCAGGGCAACTAAGCCGGAGCCAGAACTAGAGAAAGCCCACATGCCACAGTGAAAACCCAGCACAGCCAAAGTGCAAAAGAAAACCCAGGATACCTCCATCAGTTTTTGTATGACAGGACCCTTTCCAAATTCCTTTATGCTGCAAAATGGATTTTCTCTCAGGCTTTTAGGTGCTTTAGCCCTGCCCTGCCAAGATAATGCCAACTTGATTATTTTTGTCCTCAGGGGAGGGCTAGGAGAGAAAAAAGGAGTTTCCATCCACACTCTCCTGTTCCCAGGGGCTCCTTTTCCCCATCCCCAGGCTAGAAGAAAGGGTTCCTTTTGGAGGTCTTGCAGTCCCTGCTTCACTGATTTAGACTGCTCTCAAGTCAGGCAGTAGAGGAGGGAAAAAGCTAGAAAACTCACCAGCACCATCCTAGTCATTTGTCAAGTTCTGACTTCCTGCAGTTAGGCCTAAAATTAAGGTATAATAATTAGATGCTGCCTTGACACCTGGTTGAATCGGGAATAACCTGACTCCAAGTTTCTATCCCCACTCTGTTCCCACAGCTAAGGTCCCCTGGCCAAACAACTCTCCTTATCTTGGGGACAGGCACAGTGCCTATCCTTGAGTACTGGGTTTCTCTTTGCTGCCAATTATGAAATTATTCCAATAAGCCAGCCATACCCTCCTGCAGAAACCAGAGGGCACCTCACCTTCTTGATACTGCAAAGCCTGCCTCTAAGTACATGGTATTTGGTGTTCCCCTCCCCCAGACTGTGAATGTATGTGACTAAAAAAACTGCTGTCCACTTCACCTGTCCAGTTTTGGATGTTGTGTGCTCGGCCATCCCCATAATCCTAGGGCGAGAATCCCTGTCTCACAAACAGGAGGAAGAAGAGACATTCAAAACACTTCCTTTCTTGGGATGTCCCTGGTGGTCCCTCTGTTAAGACTCTGTGCTTTCACTGCAAGGGCCTTGAGTTTGATTCCTGGTTGGGGAACAAAGATGTGTGTGGACAAGAAAAACCACAGAAAACACTTCCTTTCCCAATCCTCTAGCTATTTTGCTATTATTTACTCTTCAGAGTCCTCGGATAGTGCTTTTCATATTCTGCCAGAGTTTTTAGTTGTAATCAGTGGGAGAGAGAGACTGCAGCTTGCTTACTTCACTGTGGTTGGCTCTGGGAGTCACTTAATCCCTATAGTCTAATAAAACTAAAGGATCCTTTTAGAAGGACACGTGTAACAGGTCATGACACTATCCTGTCAGTCTCTCTGATAGCACACCCTGTGAGTGTTTACAAGGCTGTACAGAATAGAGCAGGCAATAACAATAGGCATGTTTCACCTCAGGGCTTTTGCAGTGCTGTTCCCTCTGTGTGGGATGTTTCTCCGGATACCATGGTTAATCTCTACAGCTTCAAATCTTTGTTCAGATATGACCTTCCTGGTTTCTCCAGTGGTCATGTATGGATGTGAGAGATGGACTGTGAAGAAAGCTGAGTGCCAAAAAATTGATGCTTTTGAACTGTGGTGTTGGAGAAGACTCTTGAGAGTCCCTTGGGCTGCAAGGAGATCCAACCAGTCCATCCTAAAGGAGATCAGTCCTGGGTGTTCATTGGAAGGACTGATGCTGAAGCTGAAACTCCAATACTTTGGCCACCTCATGCGAAGAGTTGACTCATTGGAAAAGACCCTGATGCTGGGAGGGATTGGGGGCAGAAGGAGAAGGGGACAACAGAGGATGAGATGGCTAGATGGCATCACTGACTCGATGGACATGGGTTTGAGTAAACTCCAGGAGTTGGTGATGGACAGGGAGGCCTGGCGTGCTGTGATTCATGGGGTCGCAAAGAGTTGGACACGACTGAGCTACTGAACTGAACTGAACTGAACTGAGTGAGGATTAGGACAGCTTCCCTATTTAAAAGAAAATATCCCTCATCACCTGCACTCCTCATCTCCCTTTTTCAATTCTTTTCCCCAACCCTGATCACCTTCTAACTTAACAATATTTACTAATTTACTATGCTATTGTCTGTTACCTACTCCTCCCCATTAGAATGTTAGTTCTAGGCTTCTAAAGTGGCATTAGTGGTGAAGAACCTGCCTATCAATGCAGGAGATGTAAGAGACGCAGGTTTGATCCATGGGTTGAGAAGATCCCCTGGAGAAGGAAATGGCAACCTGCTCCAGTGTTCTTGCCTGGAGAATCCCATGGAGAGAAGAGCCTGGTTGTCTACACTCCACGGGGTCGCACAGAGTTGAACGTAACTGAGCACCATCTAGGACAATAGGGATTTTAATCTGTTTTGGATCTTGGCACCAGGACACAGCCAATACATTATGGGTCCTCAATAACTATTTGTTGAATGCATGAATAAGAATATGTAAAAATACAAACACTTTATTTAGCATGGCTGCAGTACAGAGAAGGAACTTAGAAAAATTCAGATCAGAAAAGATTATTTTAATTCTGATCTTCCCTTGATTTTTGATTAGAATTCTCCTTTCCTTTTGACCTTGATCATGTCTTAATGTCAAATGCATCCCAGAGATAAAAGACATTTTGGTGACCTTGGGTTTTTAATAGGGGCTACCCAGGCAGAAAAGTGCTGGAAAACATTTTGAACTTCCCCACACACACCACCACCAGAATTACCCAAGCCACAGTAGCATTCCCCAAACCTCATTTAAACTAGATGTATTTTATTTTTCTGGTTGAAAAAATATTTTACAAAATGAGTTCAAGTAAAATTTCTGTACATAGCCTATGTTCATTTTACACCTCCCACAAAATATATCATTGTTCTTTTCTTGTCAGTATACAGGTCTGTCCAACTTCTCTTTGAGTCTAATATGCGTTCTAAATCACGTCGTGTCTGACTCTGTGTGATCCTATAGACTGCAGCGTGCCAGGCTCCTCTGTCCATGAGATTCTCCAGGCAAGAATACTGGAGCGGGTTGCTATTTCCTTCTGCAGGGGATCTTTCTGACCCAGGAATCGAACCCGTATCAGTTATGTCTCCTGCATCGGCAGGCGGGTTCTTCACCACTAGCACCACCTGGGAAGCCCTAAAAGTTCCCTAGTCTTAGTAAAAAGTATAGGGAGAGGGGCAGATCACTAAGAGAATGTAGTTGAACTGTGGAATTTCTTATAGATAATCTTTCTGTATATTGTTACCCTGCTTATTTAACTTCTATGCAGAGTACATCATGTGAAATGTCAGGCTGAATGAATCACAAGCTGGAATCAAGATTGCTGGGAGAAATATTAACAACCTTAGATATGCAGATGACACCACCCCTGCGAAGAGGAACTAAAGAGTCTCCTGATGAAGGTGAAAGAGGAGAGTGAAAAAGCTGGCTTGAAAGTCAGCATTCAAAAAACTAAGATTGTGGCATCTGGTCCCATCACTTCATGGCAAATAGATGGGGAAACAAAGGAACAGTGACAGAATTTATTTTTTTGGGCTCCAAAATCACTGCAGATGGTGACTGAAGCCATGAAATTAAAAGATGCTTGCTCCTTGGAAGAAAAGTTATGATCAATCTCGACAGCATATTAAAAAGCAGAGACATTACTCTACCAACAAAAGTTCATATAGTCAAAGCTATGGTTTTTCCAGTAGTCATGTTTGGATGTGAGAGTTGGACTATAAAGAAAGCTGAGCACCAAAAAATTGATGCTTTTGAACTGTGGTGTTGGAGAAGACTCTTGAGAGTCCCTTGGACTGCAAGGAGATCCAGCCAGTCCATCCTAAAGGAAATCAGTCCTGAATATTCATTGGAAGGACTGATGCCGAAGCTGAAAGTCCAATACTTTGGCCACCTGATGCAAAGGGCCACTCACTGGAAAAGACTCTGATGCTGGGAAAGATTGCAGGCAGGAGGAGAAGGGGATGACAGAGAATGAAATGGTTGGATGGCATCACCGACTGTCTGGGCATAAGTTTGAGCAAGCTCCGGGAGTTGATGGACAGGAAAGCCTGGCGTGCTGCAGTCCATGAGGTCGCAAAGAGTTGGACACGACTGAGAGACTGAACTGAACTGAGTAAGTCAGTACTTCCTACAGAAACTAATTCTTAGTGAGCGATTAGGCAACGACTACGAGAGCACTCATCCAGACATCAATCATCATTCAGTCATAGTTCAATAAATAAACTCCACTGAGGAAACAAATGTGTTAACCAAATGCCGGAAAGTGGTGGGGCGGGGGGAAAACAAGATTCCAAAGAGGGTGGGAGGGAAGGCAGGTGTACCTATATGTGTAATTTGTAAGGTAGGCTGGGATAACACTCATATTTATCACTGAGATCGTGGACTTAATCATGTCACCAGGAAACTGCACTCAGAACTTGAGGAATGTTAAAAGGAAGCAAAAACTGGCTTAAATCTTAAGAGTGCATTTTGGCACCGCCGTTCACTCCGGATCCGACAGGACATCCTCCTCTCTAAAAGGGTTGGGAGGAGGCGGGCGCTCGCGTTCTGATTTAATTTTGAGCCGCGCCGCCCGCCGTCCCCCGTCACGTGACGGCCTGCCGTTGCTGCGTTGTTCAGTGGGGGCGGTTCTGCCAGGTGCCGGGCAGGAAGGGAGGCGGCTGCAGTGCCATTCTTAAAGGCGCCCGAGGGACGGCGAAAGGCTACTGCCGGCCGGAAGGAAAATGGTGAGTTGCCACTGGGGAGGGCGGGGGCTGGCCGAAGGGCCGGGTCAGCCCCGCCGGACTTTCCTGTTTGTCAGAGCCGGCATCGGCGGGCATCGCCCGGGGTGGGTCGGCGGCCGCTTCCGGCCGGGCTGCTGTTGGGTACCCACAGTCGAAGCCTTGTCTTCTGCCCGCCGCCGCTGCCGCCTCGCCCAAGAGCAGCAGCATCCTGCCGGGCCCGCGGTTTACCCGCCCAGCGGGCTCGGTGACTAGGGTGCGGCCAGGAGGGATGGGTCATGCTCACAGAGTCCTTCTGGGTGGAAAGTCACAGCCTCTACGATGAAAAATCGGAGGGCCCAGGGGTCTGGCCCAACAGAGGGCTCCCCCAAACGCTGGCTTCTCTGTGAGGGCCCGGGCCAGGCCTCAGGGGTCGGTGGGCGCCGAGCCCTTCCGCCTGGCCCTCTTTGTGGGGAGGGTTCGAATTCTGATTCCATTCTCTCAGCCTTGCCTTAGCCTCTGTCTCCTCCTCCCGGCCTGGCTCTATGGATTTCTGCTTATCCTTGCTTCGAAATCTTTTGACCCAGTGCTTTGGCGCTTGACCTTTCAGTGTCTGTCAAAAGCTTGGTCTTGCGTGGTCTGGGGGTTCTGGTTTGACTCCACGCTCAAAAATAGTGGAGAATTAAAATCAATTGCCCAACGAGGATCTCCTGGATCTTTCCCATCGGGTTTTAAAATATGCTTTTCTTTCATTAGAAGCGAAACACAAAAATCCCACTGTCCTCGTCTCTGACCTCCCACTTATTGCTCAACCCACTTCGGTCGAATAGATACTGTCATGGTCACTAAAGCTAAGAGACTTTCTCTTCAGTTCTCATCTTTTCTGATCTTTCAGCTGCATTCTGGGTGTTGACACGCTCTCTTTGAAGCATTCTCTTCCCTTGGATGTCTTGGGTGCAGAACTGGAGTGCTGCTCCTGTTGTGGGTCTGTCTGTGTCCCATGCAGTCCTCCTTCCCTGTACATCACAAGTAGGAGTCCTGGGCTCCATCCTAATGCTTCATTTTCCATTCTGTGTTTTTTGTCCTTCCTTACCTACACTCATAGCTTCAGTTACCACCTACCTGTATGTAGATGACTTGGGAATTTGTATTGCAGACCTTGCTTCTGAGATCCAGCCCAGATTTATTTGTCGTACTAGTTACCCACTTGAGTGTCTCAAAGCCCCCTCGATTTATCCAAAATAGAACGCATCTCTTGCCCTCAAACCTAGTGTTCCTTAACTCAGTGAAAGATAGCACCATTTAAGTGTTTCACACACACAAGAAGCTTAGGAGTCACCTTTTTTACTAATCTATCCCGCCTAGTATTCAGTCTGTCACCAGGTCCTTTGTGGTGGTTCAGAGAGTGGACTAGAAAAGAGTCAGGCTGTCTGGCTAGAATCCTGGCTCCCCTAGTTGCGTAACTCTGAGGAAGATACTTAACCTCTCCAAGTCCTAGTTTCTTGCACATTGGGGATATATAATACCCATCTAATGGGATTGTTTTGAGGATCTATGTAAAGGACACAGCACAGTGTTTTCTTATAGTGTTTAATACATATTAACAAGTATTAGCAGAAATTCACCTCCTTCTCTTTATTTTCATCAACATGTCTAAGCTGTTTCACTTCTCACCTGGATTAGCCTTGCCAGATAACTAGTGTTGCTCTCTTCAACCTCTCTACCTATTTCCTGCATGCAAATCTGATTCTTTTCCCTGCTTAAAACACAGGGTGGCTTGGTGGCTTCCCTTCGCTCATATAGAGACCAAAATACTTAACATGACCGACTGCACCCTGTGTAGTCCAACACCTGCCAACCTCCTCTTGTATGTGTTATAGCTCATTCTCTGTGCTTGAATCAACGCTGTCTTTTGGTTACCTTAGATGTGCTGTGCTCACTTTAATCAAAGGATCTTTGTATAGGCAATTTTGGTCCTTTAGATGTCTTTTTCAGGCAGGCTTCCTGGAACCATGCTGTTTCGACTTGTCATTAAGTTCTCATAGCATTGAGTTTCTCTCTTTCCTCTTTTCCCAGTTGTTATACAAACAAGTGTGTGTTTTTTTGCCTGATGATTTTGATGTAGACTTGTTCTCTAATAGACTTTATAAGCTCTTTTAGGTCAGGTCCATAGTTTTAATCTATTTATTTTATATCATTATGTCTCTAACAATTAGCACATCCTGACATTCATTAAATGTTCATTGTGTGGATTATCCAGTAAATGACTACTGAGTTCAAGCTTCCCACTTTGTGTGTTAATATTTACCATATAGTGTTGCTTTCAGGGTGTTATTTTTAAATGCATCTATTAACTGGAAACTGTTAGAGTTGGCTGAGTTGCAGTTCTTTTTCTTGTAGGAAGGAATTTTTGGCCTTATGGTATTGGGAGGAGTGAAAATGGGAAAAAAGCTTTATAGATTCAACCACAGCATATTTTTCACTTGGTTTGCTATCCCTAAGGTGTCAGAATTGCACAAGCAGCTCTGGGTATCAGAACCGTAAGATAAGAGTTGTAACAAATGGCTCTTTGCCTACAAAAATCTAAAGTATTTTATTAGTTTCTACCAATGGGCTCTGCCTTTGGTTTTGGTTGACCAGAGATTGAAAGTTCTAGTTTTCTGGTTTGTGTGTCTTTCTTGAAAGACAGGAAAAAATAGACTAGGCTTGAATACTATAGGAACCTCGTATGACTTAGCATTTCTTTCTCGAAAGAGAAATAAAAGGATGGACATAAATGACTACTGCAGGAGCCTAATTTATTGGAAAATATGTATTGGTGGGGTGTATTTTCTAACTATAAATAGCACATTCTGTGGTATATCACAGCTTATATATTACCAGTGTTATGAATTTAAAGGACAACTTAAAATTGATAGCCATTTAATGTTGTAACATATGCTCTTACTTACCCAACACAGGGTGAAAAAGCAGACTTTTATTTAATTTTAACTTAAAATTTGAATCCTTAATTCTTTTGGACTGTAATGAGACACTTGTATTTGGCATTGGTCTCAATTGGGGGGGGAACCCCATATATGAAGAAACCAAAGAATGTGGACCTTGTTTGGAACCTGACTCAATCAAACTCACTGTTAAAAAAACAAAAGAAAAAAAAAATGAGGAAAATTTGAACTTTGAACTCTATGTGAATAATTGAGACCAGAATTATTATTTTTAGGTGACATATTATTATTGTCTCTTTAAGAATTTCCCACAAAAAAAAAAAAAGTTTCCCACAGTTTGTTGTGATCCACATAGTCAAAGGCTTTGGCATAGTCAGTAAAGCAGAAATAGATGTTTTTCTGGAACTCTCTTGCTTTTTCGATGATCCAGTGGATGTTGGCAATTTGATCTCTGGTTCCTCTGCCTTTTCTAAATACAGCTTGAACATCTGTAACTTCACGGTTCACATACTGTTGAAGCCTGGGTTGGAGAATTTTGAGCATTACTTTGCTAGCGTGTGAGATGAATGCAATTGTGCGGTAGTTTGAGCATTCTTTGGGATTGCCTTTCTTAGGGATTGAAATGAAAACTGACCTTTTCCAGTCCTGTGGCCACTGCTGAGTTTTCCAAATTTGCTGGCATATTGAGTGCAGCACTCTCACAGCTGAAACTGCAATACTTTGGCCACCTGATGCGAAGAACTGACTCATTTGAAAAGACCCTTATGCAGGGAAAGGTTGAAGGCGGGAGGAGAACGGGACGACGGAGGATGAGATGGTTGGATGGCATCACCGACTCAATGGACAGGAGTTTAAGTAAACTCCGAGAGTTGGTGATGGACACTGAGGCCTGGCGTGCTGCAGTCCATGGGGTCGCAGAGTTGGACACGACAGAGTGACTGAACTGAACTGATTATTATTGTCTGTGTTTTCAGTGGCACATACTATCATTTTATTACTGTGTATTAAAATATTTGTAGTTAAAATGATTATTGACCTTTGCTGTGTGATGGTCCGTGGGAGCGGTATTGAGGGTTTTGGATGAGATAAGATTAGCTATGTGTTGATAATGTTGAAGCTGAGTGTTAAGTGCATAAGATTTCACAGAATTTCTCTAATTTTCTATATATTTGAACTTTCATACATTAAAGAAACAGATTTCCATCTTCTTGCTTGCAATCAATAATTCACTTGTACCACCTGACCCTAACGCCAGCTGAAGAGTGCTTTTGATAATTTCCTTGTCAGATTTTTGGAGAAGAGTCTCTTAATATTTTTTCATAATTTATAAAAGGTTCTTTGAGTTTTTATATTTGTTTCATCTGCTTTTGCTTTCATATTTCTTAATAGCTCCTATTTTTTTGATTCCCATAGTCATTTAAGACATAAAATAGCAGTTGGTCTTTACTCTTATAGTTTATTTTCCATTCTTTTGCTTATTTTTAGTTTTTCATAGTTGTGCTGGACTCAAAAATGAACTAAAGCCTTATTAACTCTTTAAGTGCAGTAAGATGATTTTCCTGTTCTTCCTGAATAGTGAAAAATATTATACTTCCTGACAGCCATGATCCTTGACTTTCTATATTCTTCCCTTCTTCTTCAGTTCTGATGAAATTGCACATTAGTATATATCTAGTTCTTTGAGATATTTAGTAGCCAAAGAGAAAGTTAAAGTATACCCTACATATAAGATGAACAAACGTGAATAATTTAATAATGCGAATGCAAGGCTTGGTAGATTTAAAAGTTCTTTAAGTGTTCATGTGTTTCATGTTAATACATAATTATGACATTTGTAGATGTCCATATGCCTTCTTAAAGGTATTAGGTTTTGTAGCTTTAAGGTATACATACATATTGGAGTCATGGCATTTGATAACATGATTTTTTTTCTTTTCTAGAGTGAGTCTTTGGTGGTTTGTGATGTTGCTGAAGATTTAGTTGAAAAGCTGAGAAAGTTTCGTTTTCGCAAAGAAACAAACAATGCTGCTATTATAAGTAAGCTAAACATGATTGTCTCCATTCCATGGTCTTAGTTTGGTTTTATCCTTTTATCCTATAGCTGCATCCAATAACCTGAAATTACTTTAGAAAGTAATTTGTCTCCTTCTGTTTTAATTCCCAAGCCTGTCCCCGCCTCCCAGCCCCTCACCCCCAAACCTGTGCGGTCACTTTAAAAAGTTAAGTAAGGGTTAGTGTCAGAGAACAGGGGCAGTGTCTCACCTCCCCCTCACCTCCTGCACAGCTCGGGAGAAGGTGATCGTCTTCTTGGGCACTTGGTCATTTGTAGTGCCCCATCCAATTCCATCCTTTAACTTACCTGGGGATGAAAACAGCCTGGCCATTCATCCTGAAGCAGAAACCTTTGCCCAAACCTAAAGTGATACAATTCAGCATTGTGTTCAAAGTGATCTGAGGTCTTACTTCATTTCTAGACTTGAATTCTAGTTTCACGGAGAATACTTTTAAGTGTCATTGACTTTTGATAATGGAAAGAGTGATTTGCATATTGCCTCTTTCAGTGTGAACTGTATGTGATGTTACGTAGATTTCTTTTGTATTCTTAGGTAATATTTAATATGTGGGTAATGATTTAGAAAGATAAAAGAAGAATGAGGGGGTGAGAATGTAAAACTATATATATTAACAGAGATACATCTGAAGATGTGAATTAGTGAGGCGGTGACAGCTTGTTGAATTATGATTCTTTTACAAACAAATACTACAACGCAGGCATACAGTTCTTAGAAGTGACAAAGTGTGTTGGTGCCATTACAGAGTAAAGCTATTTGAGATCATATCGTGTTTCACAGGATTTACTATGAAATTAGTGCAGAATCAAAAATGGGTAACTTTCAGGGTAATGGAAAAGAATAGAGGCATAGGTTATCTAAACATATTTCAGTTTGGCTTCAGATTATGTTACATGTATTTGAATAGAGATATCACTGCTCTTTGGTAATTCCCTTTCTCGGAATACTCATCCTGCACCATGAAATCCTGACTCTTGAGAAGCTGGGAACCTGGTGATTATGCTGTCCTGACCCTTGTCCTTTTTTCACTTGTAGTTCTAACCAGGTTCAATAAACCAGTCTCCGTCACAGTGACCTTTTCAGACCTTTTCTAATCATCCAAGAGGTTGCATCTGAGTTGCAAAAATTCTTCATATACACAGTAAATGTAAGGAGTTGATATAAAGTTCTAAATAAGCAAATTAGGTGCTGGGAATTATGGGTAAAAGCTTTTAAATGCTGACTGCTTGAAAAGCAAAGCTAACTAACAGACCATAAACTAAAACTGCAAATGAGTTGTATGCTTGTGTTTCTTCATGTTTTAATTTTGAATACCAATAAAAGAGCTAGGAATCTGTGGTTTGGGTAGATCAAGGTCATGTTAGAATCACAGTTTACTCATACTATATTTTTATTTTAGTGAAAATTGATAAGGATAAACGCCTGGTGGTGCTGGATGAAGAGCTTGAGGTTTGTTTGAACAGCTAAATATAGATTTATAGTTAAGTAATTATTATCACCCAAAAGATGTAACATTAGTTACATGTACTTCTAAAGTTAGTTCTAAACCATTGTTCATGTTCATTATTTATGAAAAGCACATGTTAATTATTATGTAGTGGATTGTCTTGCTAATATAATCACCTTCAATAAAGCATTAATGAAATCCAGGTAATAAGCAGTAGAAGTTAGGGCTATATGTCTGGTAAGAACTTGCTTCTAAGTTGGTTGGCCAGTAATTACAAACTAAAACCCTATAGCCTAAGTATTTAGATTGTCAAGTTAAGTAACCAATTTAGAGTGAAAAGAAATGAACTTTTCCCCCCGAATCAGATATGGTTGTTGCTCTGAGGGGTTGGCTTATCTCACTCAGTATTTCCTGACAGTTGGAACATGAGCATAGACTATGCTGCCTCTCAGCCCCATGTTTTGTTAATTAACAGAGCTAAGCTGAATAGGTTGGGGTGGGCTTTCATTGGATTGAGGTTTTAATAACCTCAGCTTATGTACAATTTAGTAAGATGGAATGTTATGATGTGGTATCAAGTTATGAATTTACACCTATTGGTAGAATGGGTCCTCGTATATCTCTTAAGAGTCTATGGATAAGAAAATGGTTAAAATTTGTTTTCTTTATGGTGCTAGGGCATTTCACCAGATGAACTTAAAGATGAACTACCTGAGCGACAACCTCGATATCCTTTTCTTAGTGCTTTAAAAAGATGTTTATTTTTACTGGTCACAGTTTTATTTATGAAGTTCATTTGTTCAGCTTTTAAGGTACATTTTTTACAAAATTTTCTTCTACACCATGCATGCTAAGTTGCTTCTGTCATGTTTGACTCTTTGCAACCCCATAGACCATGCCCCACCAGGCTCCTTTGTCCATGGGATTCTCCAGGCAAGAATACTGGAGTGGGTTGCCATGCCCTCCTCCAGGGGATCTTCCCAACCCAGGGATTGAACCCATATCTCATGTCTCCTGCATTGGCAGGTGGATTTGTTACCACTTTTGCTACTTGGGAAGCCCTACACCATGGTCACGACCAAATTAAAATGTATGTACATACTGGAAAAGGGCGAAAAAGTTGATGGATATTGTTTATTTAAATTCCTTTTATTGTTACATATAATAAAAATTGAGAAAGAAAAAATCCACATTAAGTCTATACTTTTAATAAATTTATTTGTGAGAGTGTATGATTGTATGATTTGTCTTTGGGGCCCATTTATAATTTTGTGGCATGATAATGAATAATGAAAGTGTGACCTAAATGAATAGGATAGAGATTTGCCACTCGCTAGCTCGGCTGGTGTGTGTTGTCCTTTGGAACTCCGTTAATAAGTACTTGTCTAAAATAGAGCAACAATTTCAGTTTCTTTAACTTGAGAAAAACCTTCATTGTGTATAGTTATAAGTATCAACATGATGATGGAAGAGTTTCATACCCTCTGTGCTTTATTTTCTCCAGTCCTGTCGGTAAGTGGATCTCTTTAAATAGTGCATATCTGGTTCTGATCAAATTAAACCATTTTTACCCTAGATGAATTTTATGCTTGTTTTAAGGCTGGAAAATGTTGAATTAATTGTACTGTGTGTGCACACACATGCACATGGGAATGCATCCCTAAAAAGAAGTTACTATAAAAACTTGCTTTTTTTAGGATAAATTCCTAGAAGTGTAGTTGTTAGGTCAAATTGTATATGTATGTTTAATGAATTTGAAATGATATTTTAAAATATCAAAAGTACATTTTCTTCTGTATTTTAATTTTATTTTTAAGTATGTAAACTTTGTGTACGATTATGATATATAGTTGGTGTTTATCCTTAAAATAGTAGTTGTCAGTGATATGTCCATAATCTTTAGAATAGTCTCAGAGTAGCTTACATTGGATATTAATATGGTGTATTGGTGTTTAAAGTATCCATTATCACCAGAACTCCCTCTGCCACCACCATTCAAGCCCACAATAAATTTCTGCTCACTGAACTGCTCCTTGATCTTTATTATTTGTATCATATATCTAGCACTTAAAATAGACCGAAGTGACTTTAATATGTAAGCAGACTGTACATTTTTTTCAGAGCCAATCTCTTCACCCCACTGACCCCTCAACATCCCAAAACTTACATACATTAGCTATCTGTAAAACTGATCAGTCAAAATTAAGGTGGTGGTGAAAAATTTTGAAGTATTCACAAGGCTCTGAAAGTCAAGATCTGTATAGATCTAGCCTCATTCATTTCTGCTGACCTGAAGCCTTGTTTATTAGTAATACAGCTATTTCTCTTTGTGCAGATGGTATGCAGTATAACACCCTCAAGCCCTTACGTGTTTAGACAGGAGCTTTTGTAAACTCGATAGCGTAGAAAATCCTAAATGTGTCTTTTTTATCAAGTAAATAATGAAAACTCATCACTGTTTAAAAATTTAAGTTTCATTTCTACTCTGATCTCTCTCTTCCAGGATGTAAGCCTGAACAACAGATGATGTATGCTGGGAGTAAGAATAAGCTAGTCCAAACAGCTGAACTTACCAAGGTAGTAGTTATATTTGACTAACTTGTTGAGACAGTATTTTCTCTTTGTAAATGGAGTAATACCTAAGTAATCTGAAGACTTCAGTATTTCTTTATGTAGGTGAAAATTATTTAGAACAGAGCAGTAAACTAGAGTTTTTTTACTAGTTGGAAATAGAATGATAGGAGTATTTAACCAAAAGTGTGATTTTTGAGGGCTTCCCAGGTGGCCCAGTGGTAGAGAATCCACCTACCAATGCAGGAGTTGCAGGAGACATGGGTTCGATCCCTGGGTCAGGAGGATCCCCTGGAGGAGGAAATGACCACCCACTCCAGTATTCTTGCCTGGAAAATTCCATGGACAAGTGCCTGGCGGACTGTATTTCAGAGGGTCGCAAAGAGTTGGACATGACTTAGCACGTGTTTTTTGAATGAAAATTACACATTGATTACAAGAACTCACATTCAAAATGTAGGCCACTTTAGAAAACTGTTCAATCTTTTGAGAATTTTTCATTTTCCATAATATAATCTCTAGTAGATAATTCAGCATTTGAAGCTTCTCTGAGCCCTTTACCATAGACTAAACAAACCAAATTCTGTGCAGGGATTCCATACTCTGCAGTTAACTGTGTTGTTTCTAAATCTAAAATGAAATTTTTAAGAATGCTTGTTAGCTTTATTAAAATAGAACATTCTGTTTATATCAGACACCTGCTTTAAGATTTAACATGTTCCTATTTTATGGCATTTTTGAAAATTAAAGATAAGAATGGTACTTATTCTCAAAGTTTTAACTTCCATGTTTTAGTTTGAGTTGAAAAAGTATATACTTTAAGGTCTTGAAATAGAATTTTACATCACTGGAATTTTAATGATACTTTCTTTCAGGTTTTATTTTAAGGACAACCTCAGTGTTTTCCCCTTGGGTGCTTAGTCATTAACCCAGGGGGTTTTTTTAAGTGCCTTCTGCTTTTTCCCTTTAACCCACATGATTGTCACCAATACCACCAACTTATACACATTACTTTCCCTCATTTGTACCATAGGAGTACTCTAAAGTGACTCTGGTTGGTTAGAAAGGAGCTCTGCTAAGAGCTTCATGTCTGTTCTAATCCCAGGCATGCCCTAAAGTGTTGGAATTAAAGTGAAGTCGCTTAGTCATGTCCGACTCTTTGCGACCCCAGGCTCGCAGGCCTACCAGGCTCCTCCCTCCATGGAATTTTCCAGGCAAGAGTACTAGAGTGGGTTGCCATTTCCTTCTCCAGGGACTCTTCCCTACTCAGGGATCGAACCCAGGTCTTCCACATTGCAGGCAGACACTTTATCATCTGAGCCACCAATTAAGGCATGACAATTTACAAGTAACTCTTAAATATAATATGATTGAGTCCTTACCACAGCTTTGTAAGTTGATGGTGAAACTACTGTTACTAACTGTGATGAATGACTTACCGAGGGTTGCACATCAGTACATGTAAGATCTAGGATTCATTCGTAACATCTAGCCCGAAATCCCATCCTCTCTGCTGTATTATGTTGTCTTTTTATCCCCATGATACTTTGTGGGCCTGTGTGTGTTCAGATTCTGGCTGGAGATTTTTGGCTATGGACTACTAGTCTATCCTTATAAAACGGCTGGTGTTTCCTCGTTCTGTAGGGGATCAGCACACATTCTTCGAGTTCCTAACTGGATTGATTTTAGTTGTGTACCCTTGGGTCTCTCTTTTAGTGGGTACTATTTACAAAACTACTCTTTTAGAACATCTGTAGATTTGTGCTTTTAAGAGAGTTTTGATTTTATGCCATCTTGACTGCTAAACTTTGGTAACTGAGTCCCTAGCATTTAAGAAAAAGTAAAGATATATCTAATTTACACAGATTAAGCCATGTTGACTGAAAGGAAGGAGAATTTGGTATTTAATACTCAAATATGCAACATATTTGATTTTTTTTCTTAAGGTATTTGAAATAAGAAATACCGAAGACCTAACTGAAGAATGGTTACGTGAGAAACTTGGATTTTTCCACTAATGTGAACTTCTGTGTTTCTAAAGTATTTATGTATTAACCTGACCATACTGGAACCAGACATAAATACTTATTTATGCCTAAATATGCACTGTTACTTACAGTTTGTTATCTGCAGTAAAGAAAAATTCTCATTTGTTCAAAGTTTGAACAAAGAGGAAATCATCTTCATAGTAATGAAACTTTGTAAAGTGTTTCCTTATATTTGTAATTGTTAGGTGGACTACTTCTCTCCAGGGACTTTTTGCACTCTTGTGACTAATTTCTATAACTTACAGTTCAGAATTTGTTACTATTTACAGACACCATTGGAAACTGGTTATTAGATTGTGATAGACAACAGTTGCCTCCTTTTGACAAATACTGGATATTAGCAGTTTATATATGAAAATAGCATATTATCACTTGTCAAATCTTTGAAAGCAATTTGGGATAAAAGACTTAAGTGACTGAATTTTGAGCCATGAATAATAATTTACTGTAGTATAATCTGCACTAAAAATAGTTTTTCCATCAATTCCATGCCTTCTTTAGTTTTCTTTATCGTTTTTATCAAGTCCAGAAACTTTTCATCAGTTGCTCATTTTTAGGTCTGGAAGTTAGATTTTATAAAGAAGTTATGACTAATAGGCTTTCTCTTAGTGGAAAATAGCATTTTAGTCTTAGAAATTGATGGATTGTAACTAATCAAGGGCTTCATTTTTAGTTATGTCATTTATAGATAATCGTAAATCTAGGTTAGTAACACTTTATTTATAAAGGACCTCTTAATGTTGTCCTGTGAATACTAGTTATTTTACATGTGTTAATACTGTGCCTTTGATTTATTAGCTTTAAAGTTAGTTGAAGACTTTACACTGCCAGTATTCCAGATTTGGTGAAATTAATACTTTTGTAAAGGGTCCAAGTAAAACAATTTTCTAATATGTGTATCTGAAATTTGTAGTAAAATCAACTTGATATTTTAGAAATTCCAACTGTCTACTTGCATTGGTGAATATATGGCAGTTGAAAGTTATAGTTTGGGACATATTTGTGATTAGTTTTGTGCCATAGGAAAAAACTGCTTATCTTAAACCTTGGTCATAGTTAATAACATTAACGCATTGATAGAAGTCTCATCTTATACCCCAAATGTCAGAAGCTATTCTAAACTGGACACCTGTCTTGTTAGATGATGGTATCCTTGGAATTTTTAAAGCAAGGATTCTGATATATAGTGTACTTTAAAAACATATAAGTAACTAAGATTCTTTTGACATTAATTTGACAAAAGGTCTTGAGAATCTAAAGACCACCCAAATTTGGTGAGTTAATTCTTATATTAAGAATATCTTAATCATTTCAAAGCTAGCAAAGGCTTTTTTTTTTTTTTTAAATTTTGATGTATCTCCCATTCGTATGTGCTTTGCATTTTTTTTGAGGTTTCTGTGCCAACTTTAATAAAGAGGTAAAGATAGTTGGAATTTTCATAATATGGAATCTTCTATTCCCAACACTGTTTGGCTTCACTAATCTAAAAACAGGAAGCAATAGGAAGTTAGTTGGAGATGAGGAAGTGCTAGAAAGGTATTTGCTTTGGTTACTGAATGGGAAGGGTTCTTAATTCCAATTTCCAGAGAGAGAGAGCGAGCTTCACCCCGGAAGTTTAAGAACTCTTTAAACAGCTATTTTGATACTGGAGAAAAATGCTTATAATTCTGCATAAATGCAAATGTAATCCAAGTGAATGGAGACTTTTTCTAATGTTTTTGAATGAAGGAAATGAGATTTTGTTTCATCGGTTCAGAGCAATAAGAGAATCTAGGGCTGCAAGAATGTGTTTTTGTAGTGAGGTTCCTTCTTTTGTCTTGCATGTTTTAAGTGTTTTTTTAAAAACTTAATTGGAAAGTCCTCTATAATGTCAGATAATATTGACCTCCATACATAGAACTCTTGGTTCCCCTGTTCTCTAAGAGGAACTGTGATAAACTATGCTTTTTTGAGCTTGTCTGACTCCTTATTGATATCAGTATGTATTTTTGCAAGACAATAGATGAGGTTAGGGGATCAGTAGAACATTTTTTTACTTCCTTGGTCCTATAGGGACAGTTATAGATCCTTTACCCTAGAGTATTCTCTGACTTTTATATAAATTTTCCTTTCATCTAACCAAATTTTTGCATTGTTCTTTTTTTTAAAGTATATTTCCTATATAATCTCTCTTTCTGCCTTCTCTCAGTTAGTAACTCCAGATTTCATAATTCCAGTTTTCACATTCCACTTCTGGTACAGCCATTCCCATTCAGCCTTAAGTCTTAATCTTTCCTTTTTGGCAGCAGCTTTTTTCCTGGGAACCTCCTTCATGATCTTCTAAGTCAGAATTAGTTTTGAAATTGTTGGACTTGCATAAGTTCTGCATAGCATCTGATGTTGTCAGAGTAGAACCGACTAGTAATCACAGCATGTTTTTTTAGTATGGTTTTGTGGCAACATAAATGACATATGAAGAAAACTGTTCTCAGGTTACTATATGCTGAAATTCCAAAATGTCAAGAGTTTTGAATAGTGTTCACTTTGTTCTGGTATTGAAGCAGTTATATTAGGGAAAAAGTTATTTGACTGTTTTTGTTTAATTGACTTCTAAAATAAATGTTCAAATTGTCTATTTCTAAAAAGTTTACTAAATACCTAGTGTGGTTAAACATACTCTTGTTTGAGAGGGTATTGCTAAATTTTGTATTGTCATTACTAAATGATCTTTGTAAACAAAATGTCTGTCAGCACTTTTCTCTCCCTTTTTGTCTCCTATTTTAAGGAGTCAAATGTAGCCATAAACTGTATCCTGGTCTGACACTTAAAATTTTTTCCAGTTAAAGGAGTGTATTGCCAAATTAAATTTGGCTGTCCTTGTTCCCCATCCATATAGATAGTAAGGAAGGTGTACTTAAAATATGTTTGGACTACTTTAAAACATGAGCAGTGTCATTAATCCATAATTTGGACTAGTGATGAAAAGATATTTTCATAAGAGTTTAAATGCTGATATTTGGTGGAAATAGAGAGTGACTTGTAATCTATCAATTCAAATATTCTTAATACGGTTGCTTTCCCTGTTTGTTCAATAGACTGATAATACTGGAATCTACAGAATTTGAGCCTTTACAACTTATGTGAAGAAGTGTCTCAAACATTTCTGGACAAATCTTATTTTGTATTTCTGGAAGAATGTAAAAATCTCTCAGGCCACTTAACACCAGTGGTCCCAAGTTGAATATTCTTGAAAAATTTGTTTCCTCTTAGGCCGCTCGACATTTCAAATCAGTGATCATCTTCCTATGATATTTTAAAACAACTACATTAAGGTTGTGATAGAAACTGTGTTATCTTTTTGGAGTATAGTTCATACATGTGTAATTACTTGAATATTGTTTGAGATCACTAACATGCCAGGGTAGTGCCCACTGATTTAGATGGTCCAGTGTAATCTCATTCAGGAGGCTTGAAACATTAATGGTTTAGTCTTGTGAATTTTAACAGTTTTCCTGTCATCATTTAACAAAATCAACAGCTGGCACAACTTCTGAAACTGTGGTTTCAGTCTGTGCGAGTTCATATTGCATGTTTATTTTGGACAGTCTTCTGTTAAGCATGGTGCTTGTACTGGTTTAAATAAAATGTTAACATGAAAGGACTACTAGCTTTTCATTTTTTTACTCTCCTTTTTTCTCTTTTAGAGTTGCTGTTGCCCAACTGGCTCAATTATGGCATCCGTGTGAACCACACAAATTCAGTTGTTTACTTTATCTGGAAAAACTGAGAGGCAGAATAAGCAGATCACTAGGCAAAAGTAGGATGAGGGGAGGGAAAATATAATGAGATTATAAACATTTCTAAAACTTGGTCTCATACTAAAGTGGTTAGTTTGTAGGGGCAGAGGGCATTGTTTCAAATGATGACCCCTTGCTTTCAAAGGGAAAACTGTAAGTTAGAGGGGCTGTATATTTTGTAAGAAATCAAACTAAATAGAAATTTTATTGAATATAGTGTATCACTATTTATTACACATCCACTAAAGAGCCATCCTGCCTATGTTATAGACTAATGTCTGTAGTTTGTGTTTCATGGGTATCTAGTGAATGAATACAAATCAACAATACTTACACGGTGTTTAGACTTGACCATATACCTCTTGTGATAACTTTGTATTATAGTGGAGTCACATTTGTTTACACTTGTGAAAGTTGTTTATGCCTTCTTATACTCAAGAATCTCACAAGGATAATTGGCCAGAATGAGGAAGTGTCTTCCTTATTTCTCAAATTTGTCATTCAGTTGCTCAGCCAGCCAGCTCCTAAATTTTTTCACCTTCATTGTCTTTTTGTCCTTTTCAGCAGCAAAAAGCATTTCTAGTCACTTACCCTCACAATGAGAGCCCACTCTCATTTGCATGAGGGCACACCCTGAGTGGATAGTCTCCTTGTGCAGTACATTTTTAACTATGTGGAAAAGCCAGTTAAAGATCTTATCATGGAGCTTAAGGGGGTTTTCACAGTTCTCTTATCCTGAAAGTTCTCTGCTGAGGTAACGTTTTTTCCCCAATTACAAGAAAGAAAAAGAATGTCTTGGTTGCATCCAAAAGTCACCTTTTAGTGCCCAGAAAAACAGGAAGAAGGCTGTGTGTATGTGTGTGTGGCTTTTAGTCACTATTACCTATCGGATTTACTATAGATTCTGTTACTATGGAATTAAGTCCTGCAGTATTTTGACCCATTCCTGCAGTGGGTAATGGACAGTTCAGTTCACTCGCTCAGTCATGTCTGACTCTTTGAGACCCCATAGGCTGCAGCATGCCAGGCCTCCCTGTCCATCTCCAACCCCTGGAGTTTACTCAAACTCATGTCCATTGAATTGGTGATGCCATCCAACCATCTCATCCTCTGTCATCCCCTTCTCCTCCTGCCCTCAATCTTTCCCAGCATCAGCGTCTTTTCAAATGAGTCAGTTCTTTGCATCAGGTGGCC